AAAACACTCTTTGTCCTGTCTGCACGCGCGCGCGCACACACACGACATCACAGCTGGGCGTGACCGTGGACCCAGCATGTAGCCACAGAGACGGTGAAGGTGGGGTGAGCCAGGGGCCCCGGGCCGCGCTGAGGACACCACACTCGGCTAGGCAGCACACCTGTGAACAGAGAGGTCGGAGCCCGAGCCCAAGCCTCCGACACAGAGGTAACTCACTACGTCTCCTGCAGTGGGAGGCTGATGGCACCGGCGGGCTGTGGACAGAGCATATGGCTTCCTGTCTGAACTGGAGCACTTTAGGGTTGAAGGGGCATTACTAATACTTACACCAGGGGCACAAGCATAAACCAGGACACAGGGTCACCCCAGCCATTAACGGGCATTACACAAGGAGAAATGTGAGCCAGAGGTTGCCTGCAGCAGAAACTGGAGCCAGGATCTCGAGGGAAGTCGAGAGCAGACATTACCAAAGCCGTGGTTCTCCACTGGGGGGTTCTGGGCCCCGAGGAACACATGGCAACTTCTGAAGACATTTTTAGGTGTCACAACGAGGGGGATCGATGCTAACAGCATCCAGTAGGTGAAGACCAGGGACACTGGGAAACTCCCCACCGTGCACAGGGCAGCCCCCACTACCAAGTTTTCAGGCCAAACTGTCAAGAGTGCCGAGGTTGAGAAACTCTGTATTAAAAATTACGAGATCTGACTGTATAAACTTATAAAACATCTGCACGTCAAAAGAAAACCCCCCAAAACTGCAGAAAATATTTGAACCCCACATGACAAAAAGCTAACAATCCAATCTACGTACATCAAGACCTCATAAAGGCGGAGTCCAACAGCAAAATGGGTAAAACTCACCAGAAAACACGAAGGGCAAATAAGCATTAAAACTACCCTCAAAACAAAGAACAACTCTGCCTCTGAAGTAATCAAAACATGCTGAATTAAAAGGACACATCCAAGGTTACCCGTAAACCCAGCACAGATTTTCCAATGCGCAGTGTCAGTGATGAGCTCTGTTACACGGCGCCAAACAACAGTATAAACGGATTTCAAACGAATGAAAAAAGACCTTCGGGGGAGCAACTCAGCTGTACGTAAAATACGTACCTTTTTAAATTTCAACTTTTTACTTTGAAAACTACGTATCTTCTAATACAATTGCACGATTTCAGGAAACTAAAGAAACAGCTGAGAACACGTTCAAAGATTCAGCTATAAAATTGTATGGGCAAAAGGCTGAAAATCCCTAATAAGTCAAAGAAGGAGAAACCTACTAAACAAATCAGGGTACGCTTATATATACAACTCTTAAAATCGGGCTATGTAGCAAATACTGACGCGGGAAGGTGTTCATGACATTACCTAAAGCTACACAGAAACTACACATATTACAGAAATCACTTTTATGAGAAGTTAATTTATATGGGGAGGTGCGTGTGTGAAAAACGTCTACGGAGTAATAACACAAATCACACGTGAACAAGCGCCTCTGTGTGGGTGCTGGGGTATGAGCTGTAAGGGCGGGGGCTTTTGCTTTTTCTCTGCTGTCCTTCTAACGCACAGAACAGTGCCCGGCACAAGGGAAGCAAAATAAAAAGTGATACTGTTATTTTTACTTATTTATGGTTTCTCACTGATCTGCAATAAAAACTTTATTTGCCTAGAAATTTTTTAAATGTTGCTGTTAAAAAGAATTATTCAACGGCAAACAAAATGTTTTACAAAAAGAAAGGGACATGATGCCACCTAGCTCACGGGGTTGTAAGCTTTAAACAGTAACTTATGTGGACAGGCTTTGTAACCTCCAAAGCACTGTGTGAATGTTAGAAGTTACTTAATCTGCTAAGAGCCACATAGTTGCACGAGTTTCATACGTGCTTTGGCCGGCAGCCTACCGCTCAGCAGTTTCACTTCCAGCATTTTGTCCTTTACAGAGATGTGTGTGCTGTCAGTGTAGAAGCAAAAACCTGCAACCATAGAGAACTGGCTGCGAAAGTCGTGGCACATCCATGAAACGGAACAGTGTGTCACCAAGACGATCTGTCCCGTAGAAATGTACTTACTGACACACTCTTCATCTCTATTTTAAAAATTCAAAGATGTGTAACCTAAGTGAAATAATCCCAAAGACAGCTTATTATAACAATAGCTATTATGTCAAATACTCAAAATTGTCGTGATGATCACTTTCTGATAATTCTTATCTTTCAATTTGTTCATTCGTTCTACTGGAATTTTATTCAGCTTTTTCCTTTCAGTCTCTCGTTTCTCAAGATTCGATCAGTCTAAGCCATCTATAACATTTTATCTTCCAGCTGCTGGACTGGACACATTGCTTTCATTCTTGCAAGGCAACCTCGCTTTAAAGTTGCCCCGTGGCTTTAAATGAAGCATGTGGGTAGTTTCCAAAACAAGGATGTAATTCCTTCTTCCATCTTAATATTAGTAGCTTCTTATGTACACACATCTCTCTCTCTTAATGCTGTAGTCTGTGCTCTATAAATCAGGAGCTAAATTCCACTTTCCTTCCTTAAAACAAATATTAAGAACAGTTTTCCAAAGCTCTGTTTTTCCTGCTTTCACAGAGAGATCACAGAAGTAGGGTACGAAGAAGAAATAGAACTAAATTCATAACAGCTAAAGAAAGTCTTAAAAATATGAAATGTTATTTGAATCCTTTTATAAATACGGACAGAAGTGAATTTTTTCCCCACAGAACCCTACCGGAAGCTGGAGAACATTCATACCTTCCAGCCGCACATCTGCAGTCTTTACGTCGAACACCAGCTCCCTCAGAGCAGCTGTCAGCACCTCCTCTCTGCCAACTACTCCTTCTTGACCTGCTCTGCAGGAGCTCAGTCCAGCCCTCGCTGACGGTGCTCTTCATTCTGCTGCCACTAATGGAAATGGCCTCATGTTCCTTTGTTTTAACTTTAGGAGGCTGCTTTACAACACCAGAACTAAAATAGTTCCAACATGATTTAGAAAACATTGTGATCTGAGAAGCTAGTTGATACCAAAACAATGAAATTCTGTGATGATGGAAATCATTAAGATTTGTCAAGTATTACAATGCTTCCAAATGAAATCAAAGCCCAGGACAGGTGGGAGGAAGCAGTATGATGCGGACAGGAAGACGAAGAAATCACAGAGGAAGGGCGGACGCCCCGTCCAACACTGAGAGGCCTGGAGGGGACGTGTGGCAGAAGGAGGAGAGTGAGAAGGTCCCCGAGGAGGAGCAGGAGGGCTGCGTGCGTGAGAGCGGCGGGCCGGGCAGGAGAGCAGCCCAAGGAGACGGTGGCGGGAAGGACAGACGCTGCGGAACCCACCACAGAGTCTGTGGCCTCCTGGGTAGTTTCAAATCGGCAGGACCAACTCGCCCCCTACAGCAAATACATGTCCTACGGATGACGAAATAAAGCAGCCGTCTAACTCACCTAAACTTTTCAAATTTCTAAAACCGTGGTTTATGTTCAGCTTCCATAAATTTCTGCCTAAATGTAAATCATTCCTTTTTTTTTTTCTCTCCAGATACTTTCTTGCTACAACCAAAGGGTTTTTTCCTTGATGAATTCCTGAACCACCTTTCTTTCGGGGGGTGATGGGGGGGGCAGCTCCAACTCAAGGCAACTCTGTATTATCTTTTCTAATATTTTGGGATTTCTGAACCATTTGATGTTTATTAGTTTGTTGCTGTTGTTGCTTCTGAAGCCTTTATTTAAAATCTATACGATTTAAACAGGAGACAGCAGCTAATATCCCAAGGATAAATACAGCTCTTCAACTTTAAAAAGGAGCCCGAAAACTAAAATGTTTTCCTGGCTTAATCTGATGACCCAGATTTATAACTACATAAAAGTAATAATTTAAAAACATTTTGAAAAAACAGACCCAAAATAGCCCCATAAATCCATTTTGCTTATATTGCTTTTTATTCAAATTTTCATTAAAAACATGCTCATTGCGAAACCATGATCATTCTCTTAGCCAAGAACTCTGGGAGGGCAGCAGAAAGTCCTGGAAGAGACGGCTCTGTGTTTACAGAGCAGACAAAGTGGCAGGACTATCTGAACCTCACTACAAGACTCCTTTGACATTAAAAATTGTAAAAAAAAAAAAAACCAACTTTATTTGAAATAGATTGATCCTTCTCCAAATAGCTGATAACACATTGTAAAAACACAACGATGTTAAGCATTACCAAATTAACTCTCATATTTTGCAGACTACCAACTTATACATCCACTCAGCCAAGCTGTTTTCCTGCTGGTAACCTGAATTCCTGTTTTAAAACTGTGCCAGCTCCTCTTGGGTGTTCTGGTGATGAAAATGACTTTCCTTAAGTTTAAGCCAAGACTTCCCCACATAGTATCTTATGAAAAAGCCACAACATTGGGGCACACCACAACGAACAGGTCGGGGCGGGGGAAGTATTTTAAAGAATCATTTTGATGTTGAAAATAATAGGGGGGTGGGATGGAGATGCAATAAAAACAATACGCTAATTAATTTTTGAAATATTCTGATTCCACATACCAAGTTTACTGAATACTGAATTGCTGATTATTTTTTTTTTTAAACCTGGATGTTCTGGTATAAAACAGCCTGTTGTGCATAGCGGTGGTTTAAAAGGCAAACCAGTCAAACCAAAGGAAGAACAGCACATAATCACGTAAGCTCAGGGGAATGTACCTGAAACGGGCAGAGGAGAGAGTCTGACGGCCCGAAAACACCCCCCAACCCCAAAGCCCGGGCATCTGGGGCAGATCCTCCACTGCTCCCCCATCCGAACACATGTGAACACCTTCCACCTCAAGAGAAAGGACAGACTGGTCATGCACCCCACAGACCTCTCAGAACCCGGAGTGTGACAAGCTCATGGTACCTTTTTGGCAACGGATGTCATTTTGGAAGGTTTTGTTTAAAAATGAGACCATACGCAATCTGAGAAAAGTTAACAACACAGCGACCCAGCTAAGAGGGGACCCACTGACCTGGTTGATGGAGTTGGCGGCACAGGAAGCGAGGCCGGTCCCAAGGGTCGTGAGCAGGAAGCAGGGCCAGGCGAACGGTTCCGGGGCCAGCGCGAACCCGGCTGATGTGGTGCTGACGACAAGGGCTGTGGGACAGAAACAGAGCAGGGGCTCGTCAGTACAGCCGGACGGAAGCAGCCAACCGCCAGCCTCTCCCATCTCACCAGTCAGTCACACCAGTAACACAACCCATAGGCTAATCTTGGATTAACAAAAAATGGTTAAAAAAATTTTCTCTGATTGTAAAAAAGTGTTCATTATAGAAAAATGCCAATTCTCCTTTAACTCCATTACACTCAAGAGTAAAATATAAGATGGGGTTCCAGATCCAATCATTCACTTATTCACTCAAACATTTCCTGAATATCAACCCATGGCCAGTACCATGCTGGGCAGTAGGCTCTCAGAGGATTTACCTGGGGGAGCAGTGACAGACATACACTAATGACTGTAACACACGGCAGCAAAGAATTAGAGTCCCAATTCTGTGATGAGTGCCAGGCACCCTGAGCGGAGGTCTTACCCATCACAGATGGTCCTGGTGGCCCTATAGCCACCAGCAGAGCACAGGGAAGAGACAAGGTGCAGGGGCGAAGCGTGCAATTCCAGCACCCACCAAGGCTGCTGCCTTTCTAAGGCCCTGGTCCTTTCCTGGGGGTTTAGAGAAGCCCCCGGGGCCAGAAGATGCCTAAGAGTGGTACTGATACAGGCTGGAGAAGTCACTGGAAAGAGACCACCAGTGTGGGCTCCGCGGGGAAGGCTGCAGGAAGAGCTGGACCTTCAAGAGGCGCTGCAGGAAGAGGAGGGAGCAGGGGCTGGGCAGGCAGCATCACAGGTGGCTGGACATTCCGGGAACAGACCCAGGGGCAAGAAAGAGCGACGTCAAGGGTCTACAGTACAGATGACACCACCTCCTGAGACTGCCAAGCCAGGCGGATGAGGTCATCGATGGGCGGCCAGTGCAACGGGGGGTGACAGGTGGAGAAAGAAAACAAGGACAGACACAGACGCCGTGGAGACAAGACTGAGCAGGACGGTGAGTAGACAGGCGAGGAGCCGCCAGGGCAGGGCCAGGAGGTGACTAAGTGGGACAGCAAGGAAACAGGCGAGTGGCTGCCGGGGCAGGGCCAGGAGGTGCCGCCACTGACGTCTACACGCCAGCACCAGACAAACAGCAGCTCCCCCGCTGGTCACAGACTGGCCGGCACCTCCCTGAATCTAGTTTTATGGGCAACTTATAGAAACTCTCTTCAGGTCTACCAGATGGACAAGACCCTTCTCCCTAATACCTGGACCAGACAAAGGTTTCCTAATATTTCTGCATTTCTCTGATTGGAGTCAATGAAATTTGCAAAGATAACTTATAAGGACATGTGCACACATGGTCATCCTAAACCAGAAGTCTCTAGAGAGCATGCATTTCGGCAAAGAGGTCCTTCTTTACCGAATGGTCCCAGTGGTCTCTAAATGTGATGTGCATCTCGATCTCCTGGGGGACGACTCAGGTCCGGAAGAGAGGCTACGGATGTTCAGTGCAGAGGTTTAAGAAGAGAGAAGAGTGAGGGCCAGGAACAAGAATGCAGGCCTGGAGAAGGATTACAGGACAAGGAGCTGAAGGCAAACGAGAGGCTGACGAGAAGTCACAGAGACACACGCTCAGGAGCAGGGCAGGCTGGCCCAGGCCGGGAGGACTGCCCTGACACCATACGGGCGTGTAAGTCAGAGCACAGCAAGTCCACAGAACAGCAGCAAACACCCAAGTGGAGACAAGACAGCAATCAAAGACAGTATCCTTATTCCCAAGGAACCATTCTAGAAGAAACTTTCAACTCTCTAATTTCCACAACGACTAATGCCCAAAAGAGAACGCCACAGTGATTCCAGGCTTTTGGAAACAGTCCTTTCAGGTGCACATGAAAGGACACTGCACCCACGGGCAGCAGGGAAAGAAGACCCCTCACCTCACACACAGGCCACCCAGCCACACCTGCCAGCGGCTCACGACCAGCAGGAGGAGCGCATCTTTGGAGCAGACAAAACCCCTCTGAGGATGCTCTCGCACCACCCATCTTTGAGGAGGCTTCCTCACTCTTTGCAGACATCACGCCACCGACCGTGATGCCTCAGGACAGGCCAGTGTTCCAGGATGAGAGTCACCTTGTTTTGCACAATCAGTGGCTCTGCAAGTGGGTCAGGGTCTCGTGTGTTGCTCCACGTGTGGCGACGACCCAGGACCGAGATAGGAGCCCTCAACACCCAGGGTGCTCCCCGGCGGTGCCCGCAGACCGCTGCCACCCAAGAGGGAGGGTCGAGGGCGTCCGGGGGAGAACCTGAAGGAAGAGGCTGCGGGCTTCTCCCTCCCAGAGCGGAACTAAGTCAACTGCCTCTCTGCACAGAGTAAATCAGTTGAAATAATTCCTGACTCTATTTTGAAACCTTGAATCTTAAACCAAAAGGAGACTCCTTATGAACAACCACGGGAGTTAAAAGGGTAAAGAAAACCCATGATAGCTTTCTTAATATACAAAATTAGTGAAATCTAGAATCACCAAAATAAAGAACAACTTTAGATCTTTCTAAATATCCAGGTCAACGTTTTATATTGTGCTTTATAAATAAATTTTTAAAATCAATTATCACCACAGTGGAAAAGACAGTACCATAATCATTGAACTGTCAAACCAGGAATGCTGCAAAAAGAAAGTTCACTTTGTTTAAAATCAAAAAGGGTATGGAGTTGCACAAAAGCAATGTTTTTTCTTTTTATTTGTCCCAGAGCTTGACTGGGTGATGAACAATACACAAAGCACATCAAATTTTTGACTAATGGGTCAACTGATGGGCTGAGAAGAGACAAAAAGTGGTTTGTAAAAAACTGACAAAGAGAAATGGACAATGTTTTAGTAAGACATAGAGGTGACTAAATTTACAAAATGGAAATGCTGCCTTATTTAATAACATACAAATTGTAAATGGTAATACAAGTAAAAAAATGACAGGGGCCATTATTACTACAGATGAAGAAATTCGTATTTTGTAACACATTTCTAAAGAAGATCAAAAGCTAACAAAGAACGTATTTACACTTGCTTCATCAAAGCAATTAATTTAAAGAAAGAGAAAGGAAAAGTAAATTGATAAATTGTAAAATTGACCAAAGCCATATTCTCACACAGCACTGCCCCAACTGTGATTAAACTTTTCATTGATTTCCTGGGATTCATTACATGGGATCATTTTGCAACACCAGGATCTCATTAAAAGCAAATGTAATATATTCTTTCATTAATAACACTTGAAATGATATTTTATTTGGTAATCTCATATGCTGTCCCTTCACAAATAAACATAAAATCAATGTCACCAACGAAGCGTGACCCATCCAATGGAGGCACGAAAGCACTGTCCTGCTGGTGACTCTTGGGGACCCAGGGAAGAGTAACAGGCCCACCCTGACAGGCCTACCCCCACCCGCACCCCCTCATGGTGGGTGTCCGGTCAGTAAGCGGCAGGCACCCCCTGCGCAGAGACCCGGCAGCCGCCTGCGGAGGGCACAGGGACGAAGGCGGCCCTGACACTGGCCGCACTCCCTTCAGAACCATCAGGCCCAACATCAGACTGGCTGGGCCGAGTCCTCCCAGAGGCCATCACTGACAGGTGTCCCCAGGTGCTGTCTCCTGCCTGCCTTCTCCAGGGAGAAGCTCTTACTGATGCTCTCCGTAATTAAGAGGAAAAACAATTTTTCTTTTTTGAAACAGTCACAGGCAGGCACACTCTGGCGGGCCCAGAAGAAAGCAGACACCCTAATGGGAACTGCCCATGGGGGCTACTTGGCAAAGAACCTCAGGCGGCCTCCAGGGACAGAACAGCCCGTGGCCACCCCTGGAAGGACAGCAGGGACCTCGGTCCCAGAGATGCAAATAAACAAGTCCTGCCAACAACCTGGACGTGGACCCCGAGTCCCAGGGGAGAGCCACAGCCCTGAGCAACACAGTGACCTCAGCGCAGCGAGACCCTGAGCAGGCGACCTGGCCAGGCCGTGCTGGGACTTCCCACCTTTAGAAACTATGAAATCATACCTTTGTGTTGCTTTAAACTGCAAAGTTTGTGGTAACCTGTTCTGCAGTAAAGAGAAAACTAACAATGCCATACGGAGGGTGGCATTTGAGGAAGACTGGACTATGGGAACACAGAGACTGACGGAACTCACTCAGGGACACGTCGAGGACACTGC